TGTTATTGACCAAGATATCAACCTTTTGGAAAAATATACATTAAACATCAACATCATACACCAATGCAAATACACAAACATAACACAAACCTTGGAGACAGTTATATATTGCTTAATTCATCGTCATCCATAAAAGAACTTTATGAATCAATGAACGCTGATCTTGAAAATCTCAACATCTGGTTGAAGGCAAATAAATTATCTTTAAATACAGAAAAAACTAAATATATCTTGTTTCATTCTAACCAGCAGATAATACCAAAAATCCTATAACCATTAAAAATAGATAACATATGCATTAAAAGTACTGAAAAAACTAAACTTCTTAAATTACGCAAACATTGCATGGGGGGAGCACACATAAATCTAAATTAAATTCGCTATACGTGAATCAAAAACATGCATCGAGACTAGTTTATAATAAATTTACTCATCCGATCCTTTACTTAAATCTTTAAACGCACTAAATATCTATCAAATTAATATATATCAAAGTATTTTATTTATGTTGAAATAGAAACTTGGACTAGTTCCAAATTATTTTTCTAATAACTTTTTCAAATTAACGCTAATAAGTATACTACAAGAGGAACAGGAATTTCCACGTTGCCTATAAAAAAAACAAAAATTTTGCAGTATGCAATTGTATACTGTGGCCCTTACCTATATAACAAAGTCATACCCCAAAATATAGAACCTAGTTATTCTGGTAATCTTTATACTTTGAAGAAAAACCTTAAACATCTCATAATTAACTCATCAAATTTTATCGATATGTTTTAAACATATTTGACAAGAAAGTGAAAAAGAAAAAGAAAAAATTACAAAATCAAAATATCTTATACAACAACTACTAATTTTAATATCTCGATATTTTTATGTGTATTACTCTAGTAATGTCACTTAACAAGTTTGCCTTTTAATTTTTTACTTATTTTATGTCTCAAAGGTTCTCGATGACAAAACTTTTTTAAGTCTTGTGCGAGTTTCCTTACAACATCACAACTATTTCAGCAAACTGTCTTATCAAATTTATTATCAAAATATATAAAACATATACTTTGTATTTAACACAGTGTGACAGTATATTTTTGACAATTTATATATGTATACATTGATTGTTGTTTTCTCTATGACTATATTTTATGTCAAGAAAAGAAATTGTAACAATACTTTATAAAGTTGTAAAAAATCATATAGAAAAAAAAAAAAAAGTCAAACATTTGTGTAGTCGAACCGTTTTCCTTGGTCCCCTGGAGTGTCAAGATATCTGTAATTAAGTGTATTTATATATACATGTATGTATATAATTATATACTAATATTTATATATACATACATTGGTGTATATATCGGCGGAAGAACCGGAAAGAAATATAATATACATACCAATAATATCTTAAAAATATATAAAATCTGTTTTCTTTTGTTTGCTTTATTTTAGATCTGGTCAAGTTTAACTTTGTTTTTAATTTATTTGCCATATACCTGTGAAATCAAAATAAATTTAATCAAAAAATTAAAAAAAAAAACAGTAAAAATACAATCAAAACACAAATAAATTAAGTTAATGAAATACTTAATTCACAAATTAACAAAAAATAATGAAATCATGGCAAAAAAAAATGTAATAATCAAAATTTTAGTTGAGATCTAAAAATCCAGACATAAATACAACTGAGAGGTTAGAATTAGTAGACAAACCGATTTAGACTAGTCTAAATAAATGTGATTGGATATTCAACAGATATATTAAAATATTAAAAAAAAGAAGAAAGAAAGAAAAAAATGTTTATAACCAGCTTTTTCCCTTACTTTCTTTCTTCTTATTTATAAACATTTTTCTGTTTTGAAATCTTTTAAAAGATATCTTAGCTCTAATATGAGCATAATATTAGCAACTTTTAATAACTTTTTCTTTTTTTATAGATACTAACTTTTTTATAAATACTAACTACTTATAAAATAAGAAATTTATTTAACAATTTGTTATCTATGCAACTTGATGACTTATATAACGTGTAAAAAAAATTATTAGCGGAAAATTGTCATGAATGGTACAATTTTGACATATTCAAGACAACTATGTATGATGGCAGAGTAATAAAAGTTAATGAAAAAAGTTATAATTTACACTCTATGTGATTTTCATAATATTTATATAATGACATAGGCATTTTATAACCAGTATGTGCTTTATTTATTTATTTTAATTTAAACTCCATTAGAGCTGAACAGCTCGACATTAACATTCCTTTAAAAAAAAATCTGTTTGTTCTTTAGCTAAAGAACTAATTAGAGACCTTTATTGACTTGTTCCTGAGCATTATATGCACACGACAAAACAAAGTGGATATGTTTCAAAATGACTTTATTAAAAATGACTTTAACTCCTTTATAACCAAAGTCTATATTAACTAGTCTATATTTTGCTTTTTTAACTAAAGCTTAAAATTTTCGTTTTGTTTTATTATGCATGCCATCTTTATTTTATTTTAATAATGCATCAAAATATAAAACAAAAAAAAACAACAACGGTAAAACGAAAATATCTGGAGTTATGATGGAGTTATTTCAACGCAGGCGTTGAACGCAGGCGTTGATATTTAATCCAGTTTAAATATGTTTTTACTTAGCCCTATGTTATTATACCATTCCCTAACAAAAAGAATAAAATAAACTCTTTACATAAGATTTGATTAAATGGTCTTCAATACTACTCTTATAAATAAAGATATATTATAACCATTTATATTTTATAGTACACCTTTAGTTTAAACTTATACCAACCGACTGTTTGGTTATGTTTTAATTTTTGACTCAAAATTTCAAAATTCAATTCGGACAATGGACAAAACCATTTTTTATTGAACATGATGGGTTTTCATACACACAAACAACATTGTCTTTTGACTATACAAACCAAAACATACCGATCCACACTATAGTTTCATAGTTATAATAAGACTTTGATTGTAAATTTTACATACATATAAAAGCATCTTTAAATGATTTAAAAATTCATCTCTAATTTACCATTTTTATATAAAATATGCAATGTAAAGAATTGTACACAACGTAAAAAACTTTTAAAAAACTTGTGTATGATGCAAATTTTTATAAATGTTTGTAAAATTATACATATTTTAAAGCATAAAATTTTTTAATGTTTTTACTTTTATTAAGTAAATACTATAATTAAGGGCCGTGGATTAGGTTGGAGTGAAAATAATATTTTTCAGAAAGACAATTTTTCTCCCTGGTTTTTATATTGGCTATAAAAAAACTAAAAGACCAAAATGAGCAAAATTGGACAAGAATTCCCCCCTGCGGCATATTTTTGACTAATATTCCTTATTATTGGTAGTGCAAATTTTACATAAAAAACTATTTTTTCAAGTAGAAGTTGCAAAATGAAAACATATTAGCTAATACCTAACATATATACACACACTAGGGTGAAGTGAAAATAACTTTTTTATAAATTCCATTTTTCTCCGAAATTTCTATATTAGTTATAAAAAAACTAAAGATTTTACTCATATTAGTTGAGACTAATATGAGTAAAATCGGACAAGAATTACCCCCTGTAGCAATTCGGTCAAACTAGACAAATTTTCAGAGTTTTCAATATCTTAAACTTTTTATTTCAAATATGGTTTTGTAGTATTCCTTTCAAAATTATTATTTCTAACTTATTAACATGCTAATTCAAAGAAGTTGATCTGGTGAATTTATTACACAATATTAACAAACATAAATTAAAAATATCACTAAATAGTGTTATAATGTGCCTTCGTGATAAATATTGGCATAGTTTTCTATAATTACAGGCGGACAAGTATCATATCTCTATCATAATCTCTTTTTATTTCGCCGCAACACGAGGCAGAAACAGCTCTCGCCATCTTTACATGAACGTTCTACAGCTTAGGTGTGGCTGGGTCACTTTTCCAAAAAATTACTTAGTTGAATGCAATTCTCTTTTACTCCTTTCAATTTCTCATCAGTGAGCTGCACTGTTAATGGTGGCTCTGTCCATTGTGTGTTACTCTAATCAATCAACTCCCATGTATTAATTGAAAAAAACCGAGAGTCAGAACTTTGAATTGCCGCATACTAGTTTGATTAGTATTCATACTTCTTTTTTTTTTCTAGCTCAATGTATACGCCTAACACCTAATTCTTGGTTTTGTGGGTACTCATCTGATATCATTGCCAGAAGAATATTTTCTTGATAAATAAAGAATGCATTTGTTTGAACAACTTTGTCTAATTCTTTACGTAATGCATCTGGCAGATACCGCGATTTGACTACTGTGTGACAAAGATGCGTGCTGCCATGAAAAATAGAAAACTCCCTCTTAATGATGAGCCTCATAAGAGCATAAATACTCATAATCTATGTTGCTATAGATACTAAATTTGATGAACGACTGGTAGTAGAAATATTTAATCTGAGTATCCTGTTCGCAGTGGTGAGCCATCTACAATGAGTCCAGATTGACAGAACAAGTGCCACTTAGTGCATCTTGGCAGTCAAAAAAGTAAAGCTGATCTGTACTGAGCACTTTTCAATCCACGTCTGGCATTTCTACATTTTGATTTATAGGTCGAAAGTTAACAACCTTTAATATCTCATAAGTTTCAAGGGACTTTCCAATATTCAAAAATTAGAAATTTTCAAGCTGTTATATAAAGTGTTTTTAAGTAAAGTTAGTATTTTTATATATAGTAAGTAACTTATTTCAATTGGTGACTAATGTCAAATTTCTTATTTTTACTAATAAAACTTTTATTTTTTGTTTTTTTAGTATAAAATGCACATAGTTATTTACACACTAAAAAAACTAACGGCATTATAACAGCATTTATATACGCAGATTCTTTTATGCCGTTATTTATGCTGTTATATTCACGGATTGAAAGAAATTATTGAAGACCTAAAAATTTTGGCATTATGATGGTGTTATATATGCTGTTATGTTATGCTGTTTTGTTATGGTGTTATATTTAAAGACTTTAGCTGTTATATTCGCTGTTATTTTTACTGATAGTTTTGCATTTATACTTGCTGTTATATTTGATGTCACTCGTGACAGCAAATATATCAGCAAAATATCATTGCAATGCTGCCACATTTTTTCATATTTAAATAAGAAGTTTAGAAAGTTTCTAAAGCACAAGGTGGTAAAAGTAAAAAAAAATTGAAAGCAATTAAAGTTATTTTTAAAGAAAATGCTGAATAGTTATTGCCAGCAGCAGTAATTTTTTGGATTTTTGTGCAGCTGGTAGGTTTATTTTATTGTATTAAGCTCAATAATCATCCCATGAGATATTGTGAAAGTTTATTAAAACCTAATCATTTTATTTCATTGTATCATTAAAGATTTTTAATTTAAACTAAAATTATCTATAGAGTATAGTCATGGATCTTATCTAACTAACTTTTTAATTTTATGTTATTTGTTATTTAAAATTTAAATTCGAAATGGTACTATAGTTGTAACATCAAATCAAACACACTTGACTTGTTTTATAATAACATGCTAAGATGTTATTATAAAGTTAAGTGTCGTTGTATTATTTCAAATTAAAACCTTAAAATACATTGTAACTTTTTTAAAATGGTTAAATAAAATTAAAGCACCAAAATATTATTATTTTTTTTTTAGTATGATAATTTGAATTTAAATATCACATCAATAATTCAAATATCATACAAAAAAACAAAATCGTCAATGATGTTTTTTTTTTTAGTATGATAATTTGAATTTAAATATCACATCAATAATTCAAATATCATACAAAAAAACAAAATCGTCAATGATGTTTTTTTTTTTAGTATGATAATTTGAATTTAAATATCACATCAATAATTCAAATATCATACAAAAAAACAAAATCGTCAATGATGTTTTTTTTTTTAGTATGATAATTTGAATTTAAATATCACATCAATAATTCAAATATCATACAAAAAAACAAAATCGTCAATGATGTTTTTTTTTTTAGTATGATAATTTGAATTTAAATATCACATCAATAATTCAAATATCATACAAAAAAACAAAATCGTCAATGATGTTTTTTTTTTAGTATGATAATTTGAATTTAAATATCACATCAATAATTCAAATATCATACAAAAAAACAAAATCGTCAAAATGATGTTGAGCTATATCTACTTTATTTTATGTTTTACTTCGTGAAACCTTCAATTTGCCCATAATTGAAGAAGTCAAGTGGAATAGTTGTAAAGTAAATGCTAGTAGTTTTGCTGCTCTTCTCAACGAACAAAATTTAGAGTTTACTATTCAAGCTCCACAACTTGTTGATATTTCCAACTCTCAACAAGTAAGTTTTTTTATCTGAATTAAATAAGACTGACACAGCTCAATCTTCACCGTTATGCCAATTTTCATTTATTGTAAATAATTACGTAGACTTTGTAGTACCATTGAATATAATTATTTGGAACTTTGAAAACCAATTTATGGCTAAAGAATGTCATGTATATGTTGTTCAGCCTTCGGTAAGTCAATTATCTACATCAGTTGCACAATATATGGCTGAAGAATGTCGTATTAATGTTGTTCAGCCTCCGGTAAGACAAAATCTTCATCAACTTCTTCATCTTCATCTCCAAACACATCCAAAACACCACGAAAGGTAATTAACTATAACTGTTCTGTTTGTTATTGTAAAACTTCAACTTATAGTTTTATGCTTCATCACTTAAAATTGCATGGCAACCAAACAGCCGTTTTTTGTGAAAATTGTTTTTCCAAATTAAAAAGTCTTACAGGTCTCCTGAAGCATTCCAAAAAATGTTCCATTAACCTTATTAATATCTGTACTATTGGAAATGAAGTTGAAAACAATGTTGTGAATCAAATTGGTAACACAAAAATTAATGAAGATTATTTAGGAGCTTTGGCATTACATTTACGAGAAAACCACAGGTGCGCATAAAATGTTTTAAACATAATTTTCAGTAATTTATAGGAGATGCTTTCTGTTTTTTATGTTGACATTAAGCCTTAAAAGCCACTTGTAATAAACTCTCAACACAATATTTACGGGGAAAATATTACAAGAATAATTTACAGACTCCAACTGCAAAAGATTGGTCTGATTAAGCAAGGTTGTATAATTCCTTTCATTAAAATATTGTCTTTCCTATAACAATATCAGAAAATTAATGACTTTAGCGGTGAATAGGGAAACAAAGCACTTAAAACTTGGAATGTATTGTGATTACCTTGGAATAACAAATCCTTTAGGAAAGGCGCGTAAAAAGCAAAAAAATGTTTGTATTTTACTTTCAAATCTTAAACATCCCTTCATTGTATCGTGATAAAACGTCTTCTATCTTTTCGTTAATTCTTACTCATACTACATGGGTAAAAGATAAATACTTTTGAAGTATTCTTTTTAGCGATTTTATTTCCTCTATAAGCCAGCTGGAAAATGGTACTGTAATTAAAGTTAGGGGTGTTTCCAAAATAATTACAGTTGAAGTAGTATACTTCTCAGGTAACTCTCTTTCTACAAATGCAATTGGAGGTTTTAAAGAAGGTTTTAGTGAAAAGACATTGCGTTGTTGCAGAAGTTGTAACTCAACCAAACAACAAATGAAAGGTTTTTCTAACCATGAAGAATACATTATTCGTAACGCTTCTGAACATATGATACGCTTGACTGAGCTAAACTCTGGTTTAAGCAAAACTGATAAATCATAATAATCTAAATATTATGGCATTGTTTCAAAAAGTATACTGTCAAACATTCAAGGATTTGATGTGACAAAACACCTTTTATTTGATCCTATGCATGACTTGTTGGAAGGTCTCATTCCGCTTCAGCTAGAGTTATTTTTCTCGTATGTTGCTCAGAACAATTTTTTTACTTTAAAAAAAATAAATGATTCGCTGCAAGGATTTAGCTATGCTAATGGTATCGAAAAGCCTAATATTATCTACACCTCAATGCAGATTCGTGGTAGTTTTGGCAGTGGTCAAACTTTGAATCTTTCTCGTATTATATCATTTTTTATCTTTAGCACATGGATTAAATCGATATCCATTTCATTTGTTTGTCAAAACTTATTCAGGTACTTCAACTGTGTTTATCTTCTGTTGTTACTCCTCTTTTTTTATCGGATTTAAAAGCTTTAGATCATCATTGCTTGTTTTTGTATTTGTATCCTGATAAATTCACTCCAAAGTTACATTTCCTTATCCTCTACCCTGCTCAAGCTGAACAGGTTGGGCCTCATTAACATGTGTGTTATAGCGTATGAAAAAAAAACATCAAGTTGTGAAGTATTTTCGTCACTTCAATTTCAAAAACATTCCTTATTTAGTATATAAAACGATTATCATTAATACCACAAGCAATTTTTTTAATGCAGGGGAAAGATGTGGTGATGTATATAGACAAGTTTTGATTCTGTTAAAGTAAATGGCTTAATTTACAAGATTGGTGATATTACTTCATGCTTACATGAAGAAAAGTTGAAAAATCTTTTCAATATCATCAGAACATGACAAGCGTGCTTTTAAATGCTCTAAACTTATAGTACAAGCCCACTCAGCATACTTGATTTGTTGTGAATCTTCTGAACAAGTTGTCATTTCCACAAACACTTTATTATTTCCTTGGTGCGTCATCCAATATTATTATTCTTCAAGTTCTGTAAATGGCAGAATCAATATTTTTTCTTTAGCAGTGCCAAATCTAAATTTTTTTGATATATGCATATGAATTTACCTTTTAATGAACATATTAATTAGTTAATTTTTTAAAATAACTTTTTAGATTTTACAACAGAAACACATTTAAAAATTTGAAAACATTCTTCAAATAAATATTCGAAGGAAATTCAGATTTAAATATATATATATATATATATATATATATATATATATATATATATATATATATATATATATATATATATATATATATATATATATATATATATATATGTATATATATATATATATATATATATATATATATATATATATATATATATATATATATATATATATATATATATATATATATATATATATATATATATATATATATATATTACTCTTTATTATATGTTCAGAAAAATTTAAATATCAAAATCTATTGTTATACATTTGTAGTACTCTAGTAATCTTTACAAATTTTGGCAAACGTTGTCTTGTCTTTGAGATGACACAACCAGAGCTGTCGAGAGCCTTGGCGCCGACCGGGACAAAATTCCCGAATGGCACCCCATATTTCTGTCTTTCCAAGTTATCAATGAAAAGCTTTTTTTTTTTAGGTCCCTCTATATTTTTTGCGCCCCTAGAACATCTGCCGTCCGGGACAAACTGCCCCTTTGTCCCCTTCTTGGCGACACTGGACACAACTACAACAAATAAATACATTTTGCAATAGTAAATCACCTATGTTTTTAAAAAGAAATGAACATTTTCTCACATGATTTTTTCATACAAATTATGTACAACAACAAGGACATTCCTAAGACTAGTATGCAGGCTTGGTCGGGAAGCGGAAGTGATCGCTCTCGAATACTGACCACGGAAATTATATTTACTTTCGAAAAACTGGCCAGGTTTTTTAGTCGTTTTGAGAACATTTAAGTTTATGGACGAAACAAAAAATTTTGTTTTACGGACATAGATAGAAACATAAAAAATTTGAATGTTCTCAAAACGTCTTAGTACGAAAGAATAAAATAAATATTCGCGAACACTAAAAACCCGCCAAATTAACAAATATTTACAAACGCTAAAAACCCGCCAAATTAACAAACTAATTGTAATTGTTCAATATTCTTTATGTATTCTTTATGTAAATATATTTTTTTGTATATGTTTTTTATTGTAATGCATCCCCTTACGGAAAACTTCCATGAAAACACCCATGAAAAAAATCCATGGAAAAACCATGGTTATTTGGAACACTTTTTCACGGGAAACCCATGAGTTTTCCATGGGAAATCCATGAGTTTCCTATGGGAAAACTATGAGTTTTCAATAAAAACCCACGAGTTTTTTATGGGAAACCCGTGAGTTTCCCATAAAAAATCCATGAGTTTTTCATAGAAGAATGTTCCAAATACCATGGATGTTCAATGATTTTCCATTCATAGAAAAAACCATGGAATTTCCATAGGTATTAGGAACAACTTTCCAACGAAAACTCATGGATTTTTCATGGTATAAAAGAATGATTTGTTTTCAAGTTTTTTTGATCTAACGTTATTTGAATTATCATATTAAATCATAAAAGCACACTAATATTATTGAGTTCTCTTAATCTACGGGATTGCTTTCTCCGAATAAAATCAATAAACAAAATAAAATTTAAATCTTGTTAAATTCTACAAATCTTTGAAAAATAATAGCTATAATGCACCTAAAACATCAAAACTTGACTGCAGTACAATATTTATTGCATGTATATGTATAACATACTGAAAATAAGTAAAACAAAAAATTACAAGTAATATAATACTATAAATGATATACATAGTGATAAACAATTGAAATATATTAAGAAAACAATTTTTACAGAAAAAAAATAATTTACGTGTTTATTATTTTATACTAACTATTTGATAAAAATAGTATATATAAATTTTATAAAATCATTCAAGTTTTAACAAGTTAAAAAGAACCATCAATACAACATATTTAATCCAAAAAAACATCAAGCCCATTTATAAGTGCGACTGCACTGCTACTTTGTTTGAGATCTACCTGTTTCTACTATTTGTAGAAACAGGTAGATCTCAAACAAAGTAGCATTCACATTTTGATATTCATTATTTTTTTCACCGTAGTTAGACTCATTCTCCATTTCACCAATCTAGACAATACATCATACAACTATTAAATACATTCTAACTAGTTTTCTTTATTTACGTATTCATTTTACTTTTCACTATTATCTTTTTTAACTTATTTTATAATTAAGCATTATACACAATTATGAATGTTGCCAAATGTTAGGTAATATTTATATAGAAAAAAGTAGCAATGAATATATCTTTATTTATAAATAACAATTATCAGATTAATACCTCTTTTTTGCCTAAGCTATCTGCATTATGTAGAACATTGGTTATATTTCCAGTCAATTATTCCTGCCTATAGTGCAACTTAATTAAAATGATTTATTCAAACTAATACATGTATAATTATTATAAGGCAGCAACAAATATTATATTACTTATTTATTTTTTGTAATTAAAAAAAAAAAACTTACTTCTTCTTCTGAGCTATCTGCATGATGTACAACATCATTTACAAACCTGTTTTCTTCACGTCCTTACCATTTTTATATATATATTATAAAGCATGGGACTTGTTAATGAACGGCTAAATAAGTTAAAAATTTATATTGCCAGTCACACCTGCCTGCTAATAATGAACTAATTTAAACGAAATGATAAGGTTAAAATGAAAAGATTTATACACATATATAAATTTTACCTACATGTTAGTAAAATTTATATAGAACAAGGCAGCAACAACTATAGTATAATTTATAAATAGTAACTTTAATTAAATACTTACTTCTTTGTCTGAGCTGTCTGCATGATGTACAACATTAATTATATTGTCAGTCAAACTTACCTGCTTATAATGAAGTAGTTTTAAATAAAATGATAAAGTTAAAATAAAAGAACTTATGCACACACCATCAAATTCAAAATTTTATTATATTTTTACTTTACTATTTAAAACATAACAAATATAATAAAGATGTAATTTATAAAGTATAGTAATGTAAAAGCATAATAAATATCAAAGTATGTGCATAAATTGGTTTATTTTAACTAAAGACGAGCACTTTACATTAGATAAATATAAACAAATAAAAATAATAATAAATAATAGTGTATTATTCATAAACATTGCTTTTATATGCTTATATTTAATATGAAGTTAAATTTTGTGCATTAATTAACTTCCCTTTCTGATATTTTTAAAACATTACCACAGTTTTCCTGCTCCAACTAAGTGGTTCTTGGAATATCCTTACAAGTTGAATCCCAAAGATTACGTTTATATTTTTTCTGATTGTTTTAAATTTAATTCACCATTTTATTTTGACAGCTTTTAAATTATCTTAAAAATATTAAATGCATATAAAAACTGACGAAGCTCTAAACTATATAAACAATGAACAACATTATTTATATTTCCAGTCAAACCTGTAGGCTTATAATGTAGTAATTTAAATACAATAATAAAGTAAATATAAAAGAATTTATAAACAATATTTATATTACATTACTTACATATTCTAATAATTCTAAAGAAAAAACAACAACAAAAAGACAAAAACAACTTAACCGAACTAAAATTAAATAGATCATAAAAAAACGTTTTTTAATACTTAATGAACATTTACCATACAATAAACTTCAAGCATTTTTATGAAATCTAAGGCTATTATAAAAAAAAAAAAAAAAGATTGTATTAGTTATCTTTGTACATTAGTTATCTAATCTTATTATCTTATATTATCTTAGTTATCTAATCTTGCCTGATATTAAGCACGTGGACTGATTTTTTTTAAATTGATCAAATACAAGAGTGTTAAATACAGTCAAATACAGTATTTTAAAAGTGAAAAAATTATGAAAATTGGACTATTTTATCAAAAGTTATGACGTTTTTAGTAGCAAATTTTCTATAAATGGATTTCTTGATAAAAACTGTGGTCAAAATTTTTTTTACATAAATCGTTATAACTTTGCCAGTTCTTATTCAAATATCTATAGTTTGGTATCAAAAGATAGATATAGAAGAAGGCTATATTTTCCAAATAAATTTTAAGTAAAATTTAGTTTTAGAGCGCAGAAGGGATCCGGAGGGGGTGCTAATCCACCACCTACATCTCACAAAAAAACACTTTTTCCATAAAAATCTTTTTCTTTTTTTTAATTACAAATATTTATATACAAAAAGTTGTTATTATTTTATACCACATCACTAGTGAATATTACAGGTCTATCTCAAAGTCGGGTGTTGGATTTTGGGTAAGGTTTAACACACCCTATCAAAATTTCATTCTTTTAAATATTTTATTCTTTACTAAAACAATTAATTCTGGTATAAAAAACAAAAACATATATTTCGATACTTGGAAAAATAGTAACTAGTGGAGTATAAATTGCCTTCATGGAAAGGGGCGTAAGCCGCCCTCCTATCGCACCATACCTAAAAAAAATTTTAATGAGAATTTTACAGAAAAATATTTTTAAAATGCTTTTAAAAAAACTATTTTACCACATTACAAGATGTATGAAAGTATCCATTTTGCCATGCGAAGGAAGGGGTACCCACTCCATCCTAAAAAAAAATACACAGCAGCAAGTCTTTTTTTAAAAAAAGTAACTAACTATTGTCATGACTTTTAGTAAACGATTTACGGTTTGAATTCCATTTAGGAACTAAAATAAATCATTTTAACTATAGATAGGTAAAGGTAAGCCAGAGTCGTCTATCAAAAAAATTTGCAAGACTCAAAACTTGCTGTACCTATTTTCAAGTTCCACTACTTGCTGTACCTTTTTGCAAGTTCCACTACTTGCTGCACTTACTTTGCAAGTTACACTATTTACATCCACTAGATGCCACTAAATACAATGTAGTGCAAAAAATTTTAAGAAATCATACTTATTGAAAACTTTTTTTATATATTCTTACCAATGGGAGTACTTGTACATACAGCTAAACATAACAAAAATAACAAAAAAAGGTTGGTAAAGAATACTGTTATAATAGTTTGGAATTTACAACTTTGTAAGAATCTACAATACATACCTTATTTAGAAATTAAAGATGTAGACACCACTAAATTTACTAGAGAATAAAAAGTAATAAAAATCTATAAAACTTATGTTTACAAACTAAATTTTGATTTATAAGTTATAATAATTAATCTTACCTATAGGGGTAATCCTATAGATGCAGACTGAGCTGAAAATTGCAACAACAAAGAATTAATAATATTAATAACAATAAAATACATAATCAGATTAATATGCATTTTACATTAATAGTTCTTAAATTCATACCAATTGTTGGAGGATTATGAAAGCTGAAATTTTTAAAAGCATACATCATTCAAAACTTATAATTTATTTAAAAGTTTACAAACTTCACTGAATCATACCAAATCATTTCAACTGAACCAAATTAATGCATATAATGTTTTGTATATAATGTAAGTTAACTTTCCTTACCCATAGTATTTTCTAACTTTTCTAAAAAGATAAAAGTAAAAAAATAAATAAAACTATGGTTCCATATTGATAAAGAAAAAATTATGCATGCGAAGAAATTTTTTATAACAACTAAAATGTGGATTGTATTATCTGAAACAATTTTACGTAAAAAAGTAATATATACATTAATATAAAAAAATTAATTTTTATTACTTATTTAAAAGAATTAAAAAGCATCGAATGTCACAGTTGATTTATATTGTACAACAAATACTAGATTTACTTTTAATATTCAGTTATTTTATATAATACTTTTTTTTAGTATGAATTTATTTGTAAATATTATTAAGTATAACAGTGTCATTTAGTTTACACTATTGAAAATATCTATATTGAAATTATAAATAAACAATAGTGTAATTTAAACTATTAAAATTATCATTAAATTACATGTAACTGATGTAAAAAGTAATTAACAGGGACTAAAATAGAAATACTGACCAGTTCAACATCCGTCTGAAGCTAAACAAAATAATTTAAAAAATTCATTTTAAAAACTACTTATATCCAGTAATACTGAGTCTAAACACAAAAAATATTGTTAATATATGCAATTTATTTATTATTTATGAATAAATATACTTTATCTGCTTAACCCTTTTTGTAATACTGAGTATTACAAAGGGTTACAAACAGATCATACATAACAGTATAACTATATAAAGTTATAGATAATAAAAAGGTAAATAAGATATTATCATATTTATTAATGTTTATATATGATAATATACCAAATTTGTTGACAAATTATTTAATAAATAAGCTAATTCTTACTGACAGTATTACTGTTAGTTTCTAAAAGAGATGTTGGATAGCTCATTTTCTAAATAAACATATAATATTTTTCTAGTATAATTTATAAATTTAGTTCAAAATCAATACTAATAAATGGTAATTACTCTGATTGGGTATCAGTAAAAAGTGGAGTTCCCCAAGGTTCTGTTCTCTCAGCTCTATTATTCATTATATACGTTAACGATATTCCCAATATAATTACTTCAAATGCAGCACTTTTTGCTGACGATACAAAAATATTTTACCCTATTACTAATTTGCATTTACACACTGTACTTCAAAATGATATTGATATCTTGGTTGACTGGGCAACTAAATGGGGGATGAAATTTAATATAGAAAAATGTTCAGTTTTACACCTAGGTCATAAAAATAAACATCTTGTCTATTCTATGTACGATCCAGTGAAGAAAACAAGGATTGATATCAAATCTACCAACTCAGAAACTGACCTCGGAGTACATATCGATAATAACTTGCTATTTTCTAAACATACCTCTACTCAAGTTAATAGGGCAATGCAGATGCTATTTCTAATAAAAAGATCTTTCTCTTATCTAAATTCATTTTGTTTTAAAAGACTGTTTTCAGCACTAGTACGACCATATTTAGAATATTGTGGTTCTGTATATAACCCTCGTCTACTGAAAGACAAACGACAAGTTGAAAATATACTCAGAAGAAGAAGCATCTAAATCATTTCATGGATTAAAAAGTCTAACATATCACCAAAGACTATTGAAAATTAATATGACAACCATAAGATACAGACTAATCCGGGCTGATTTAATAAACGTCTATAAATGGCTAAACAACTACTACAACTGTCAAACGATCTTTCCAAAAACAATTATAAATTCTATTACAAGAGGACATTCATTTAAACTAGAAAAACCTTATTCTCGTCTAGCTTCTCGTCAATACTTTTTCACCTTACGAGTAATCAACAAATGGAACTCCCTCCCAGATGACGTTGTAAACGCTACTTCCGTGAGCAATTTTAAAAACAAACTCGACAATTATCTAAAAGAAGAAAAAACAATTTATGATTAGTATATTTATATAGTAATCATAAGACAGGTTGACAGGCATTTCATGCCTATACAAATCCAATTTGGAAACCTTAATAATAACAATACTTGTTTGTATTAAAGAATCTTTATTCACAACCCCTCTGCACTTATTTTACTCCCGATAATATTTTCAGAAAAGGCCATTTAAGTACCAAAAGTGGGGACAAAAATAGATATAGTGGGCATGGAAATTTTTAAATAAAATTTTCCAGGTGTATAGAATATGTGTAAACTTAAAAAAATGAATAATTTAGAAAAAAAATGAGCATATCTTTAATGTTTACTAAATGCATGAAATAAAACCAAGCTTTCACCATCAATAAATCCATTTAGAAAGTTTGAAATTATAAGTAAAAAACACATATTAAAAAAGTATAATCATAGTAGTTTTTAAAAAGTATCTATGTTAATATAAAATTTTAAAAAATAAGAGCATAATTAACGTTTCTACATCACTGTCCAAAAACAAACTTTAAAAAGCGTGGCACAGAATTTCAGCATAAAAATCGGTTCCGTAAATCGCGATATCCGCGTACCTACTGATATACTGCTTATATATTAATATATTAGATAAATTTGTTTAATATGTTAGATAAGTTTTATAATAATACTTATATTAGTTTTAATGTACATTAGATTACACTATGTACATTAATACACTAGTTATTTAATGTAGATTAAAACTAAACGTTTATTTGTTGTAAACCAAATAATAGTTATTTGGCAAATAATTTGCCAAAAGCATTAAAATTCATACTGGTTTACTTGACATACATGCTATACTATTGCAAGTTATGCAAAGTAAGCAAAGCTACTGGAAACAGTTAAAATAAGTATATGCATAAATGATATATAATTAAATATAGTTAAAAATAATCCATTTTCTAATGCATTATAATATAATAAATATATCTAGTTGTTTATATCTGTAAGTTTAGTTTGAATCATAAAAATGTGATGCATTATAAAAAACATATAATTTATAGTCTTATTAAACACAGAAAAACAGAAGAATGCAGTAAGTATTGTTTACTCAAGTTAAAAATAATCGTAACTGTACGAGCTATGACGCCATCTTTAAAAGCGCATTCTTAACAACCATGGCGCAGGATAAGCTATGAAAAAAATGCCATGGTTCACCCATGGAAATTCCATGGAATTTCCGTTTTCCATGGGAAAACCATGGTTTACTCATGGAATCCCATGGGTTTTCCATGGAATATTTACGTAAGGGTCTTTTAAAACAATTTTAATGATTTAAACAAAGACTTACAAAAATAATTGCGTTTTCAATGAAGTTATAATCAAGTTAATAAAACTAATTATGTAACAAACATATAAGAAGGTTACTAAACACAAACAACGTTTCTGGTTACTAAACACAAACAACGCATACAAAGTAACTCGCGGATGAACAAACACCGCGCCTGAGGTTACGACAGAACACAAATATATATAGCAAATAATTAGATATAAAGAAAAGTTTTTAGATATTGGTTTACTAACTCTAATTATTTTCGCTTAAGTTACCATTCTTAAAACTCGTTATACTTTTTTCTACACTAAATACTAGTTGAAATTAAAAAACCCACTCACTAAACATCATCAGCGATATTGTGAAGCAGTTTCGTTTTCTCGTCATAAAGTATTTTTAACCTTTTTAGTTGATTTCTATCTTGTTAATTTAATTTCTATAGTGATTCAATGATTTTTTTTTTTTTTTTTTTTTTTTTTCTTCTTCTTTGCCGTTTGATAAAATTTACAATAAGAAAGATCGTAAATATATAATATATGGCCGGAGCAAGAAGAAGGCATATATTGTCTTACCGCCAAGCCCCGTTTACATTGTTGCCTTCAGTTTATGTAACAAGTTAAAAATTACAAAATACAACACAATATATATTACAAGTAGTAAATCGTATAATAAGATATATAAATAAACATCTTTTTTTAGTTATATATATATATATATATATACATATATATATATATATATATATATATATATATATATATATATATATATATATATATATATATATATATATATATATATATATATATATATATATATATATATATATATATATATATATATATATATATATATATATATATATATATATACTATTTATAGATAAGAAATAAACTAAGACAAAAATAAGAGAGTCGTAATGACTTTTTCAGTTTAATTATTTTAGGTACTATTTTTAAAAGAAATTTTTAAAATCGAATTTTTTTCCTAATAGAAAACGTTTATATTCTTTTTTAAATTGTTCTAGGGAGAAGTTTAGAAGAGTTTTATTTTTAATAATATTTTTCAAAAAACTTTTCCATATAAATGGTCCACGGTATCGAATTTGAAATGAGCTGAGTTTTAAATAAGATCTTGGAATAACAAACATATCAACTGAAAATTTTGTGTGGTATTTATGAGTAATTTCAGTGAAGTAAGAGTGAAATATATTAGGAGACAAACCATGTTTTGATTTAAACATTAGAAACATAACTTGGTATATCTTAATTTTATAAACATTAAGTGCATTAAGTTCGCTTAGAAGAGATTCACGATTAACAGTTCTGTTAACGCCAAATATAATCCTACATGCATGTTTTTGCTTGCTATAGATTTTTTTAAGTTTCCCATAGTTAGTACTTCCTTATGCAATATTGCAATAAGAAAGATAACTATGAATAAATGAAAAATTTAATTATTTCATTTGTTTATCTTACTAAAAAGAATTGCTTCAAATATATTAAACTTTTCAAACTACACGAAACATAAAATAGGTATTAATAAAATTAACTTTTTTATTTAAAAAATAATTTAGCTTAAATAAAACTAAAACTTGCAAATTTTGTTTAATAAAGAATATTTGTTTCCTTTTTAAACAATCGTAAGATGATACTTTATATAAAAACATCGCTTACTTTTATAAAAAAGTATAAAAAAGCGATGTTTAAATATGCTACCATGAAACACCTTAAAGTTTAAATTTTAAAAACCATTTGTACCATTACCCACTGGGATTCAGCTAATTATCACACATTTTGCTATAATATTTATTATGTCAGACATTTTACTGTGATTCAATTATGGATTTAATATCTAAAGCTGACCCAGTGCTTTCAGAAGAGCAGCTTCTTCTTGAAGTTGAGGTTATATTTTTGCTTAACTTATGCGGTAGTCGTGTAGTGGAAAAGCGCTTGCTTCATAAACGAGAGGTTCCGAGTTCAATCCCCACCACGTCCCTAGTAGTACCGCGCTCAACTCGTTTGTTTATCAAAGTTCGTGTTTTGGAGTTATAGAGTTGAGAGAGGGTTATATAACCGCAAATAAATAGCCTCCTCGTCTGTAGTGGCCTTCTCTGCCTTAAGGAGGTGAATCAACAACAACAACAAAAAAAAAAACTTAATTTGGACAGCAATATGATTACCATTATTTTAAATTAGTAAGTGATTGGGGTTGGTATTTGACCGAGGCCAGGTTTGATAAAACATAACCAGGGCTGCATTTACATTGATAAATCCTATAAGTATATTATTTTTTGGTAAAATTTATGTCGCGCTAAAAGGCTTTAGGGAAGGAGTAGGGGGGGGGGAAGAGCTTGGAGAAAACATTTAAGCTTGAAAATGATCTCTCTTCTAATACAGTTTAAGGACTCTCAGTGGCTGGTAATAGCTAGTAACCCCTGCAAATTTTGTTTTTTAGTTGAGGCAGGGTTTGTAAAAAGCTCTATTTTTAGCAGGGGCCCGCTCACTTACTACTTGAAATATTTTACTAATTATTATACATTTTTTTTTTTTACTTATTATTTTTTTTTACAATCAAAAATACATTACAAATAAAGTTGTTTAATGTATAGTATATAAAGAAATTATAAGTTTAAGCGCCTTTACCCACACTATAGTTTTATAAAAGAATCATGTTCATTTTTTGTTGCTAAAGCTTTTGCAGGATCTTCTAATCACCTTGAATGTTTGCTTGTTTTACAATGTAAACTAGGTTCCAAAAAAGCAAAGGATTTGTTTTTTAAGAAATCTGAAGTAAGTAAAATAAAATATTTTATGGTTTTATTCAGTTCGTTTTAATAATTTCATATAATGAAGTTATAAAAATGTATACTTTTTTTTTGCATTTATATATCTAGCTAATCTAGAATATATTTAGTTATTACTAATATTTATTGATGATGTACATTTCAGTATAAACTTAGGATAAACACGTTTATAATAAGGGGTGGTCCAGAAAGTATGCACGTCAAAATTTTGACCCTCCCCCTGTTGCCATGCCTATTTTTAATATTGCCTCCCCACTAAATAGTACGTTACTTTTTGAAGTACCCCTCCCCCTCCCCCTACTAAAAATTAAAAATAGTAATTGGAGTACGTTTTGTTTAAAGTATGATACAAAATTAGGTCTGACAGTAAATCTAAAGATACTCTGTGGTGCCAAATAAATGTATCTGCTCGTTTATTTATAATGTAATTTAATGTAATATTATGCTAAGATCTACACAGGCGGATCCATAGGGTGGGGGCAATGGGGCGATCACCTTCCATAGTTAGTTAAGCTATCTAGATAAAATTTCAATTTTAATATTATGCTAGGGTACAAAATATTAAATCTGAAAATCGCTCTCCGTCTCATTACTAGATAGTCTGGACTTACCATATAATAAGAAATTAAATTCGTTGTCCCCCCCCCTCCTCCTTGTACTACATCTTTTGGATCTGCCCTTGATTATATAGAGCTATTATACATTATACAGCTATGTATATTATACAGCTATTATATGTAATATTAGCGCAATATTATATACAGCTAGTCCTGTACAGTTTAAAACTGATTAGCCCAAACAGGGGTGCAGAAAGATTTCAGAACCCTAGTTTCAGAACCCCGGCTTATGGAGTTCTAGAAACCCAATGTTTTCAGAAACCCATTTTGCAAAAGAGGTTCCAGAACCAATTTTTGGAACTCCTTACAGTCAGAATTTTAGAACCCGGGGTCTACAGTCCCAAATAAAGGTCGGAGTTCGAATTGCTGTTTTAAAACTATTTAGAAAAAACTGAATTAAATTAAATTTCTGGTAATTTTTATAGTTATTATTTGATTTCTTCAAGTCTGACAATCTAGTCGAAGAGTTGAAGATACCTGCAAAGTTCGGTCCACAAGTTCTTTTCAACTCAACACAATATGGCGTTCATAGTAGATCAGGATGAGAAATGATTAGCATAATTTTATGGACAATTAAAAAGGTTTTATGCTTTATTGTTAGCATTTACTATTTGTTAGATCTTCATTTTCATAACTGATGAGTCTTTTCAAGAAGATGTTGCTAAACGAAAGCTTTGATAAAAAATCAAAAAAGACTTTCTCTTATATTTAATAAATAACTTAACTTGTTGTATGCGATTACTAGTTATTAACTTTATTTTTTTATAAGTTTATTTATTTTATATTTTTAAATTGTTGTTACTTATTGTTGTTACTAATAGTTTTATATTTAAGTTGTTACTTTAAAAAGAAAGATGGGAAATAAAATTTTCTTTAAAATAATAAAAATAATAAATTAATTTTGTAAAGTTTTGATAAAGTACTTTTTGACATATATTTAAAATTATAAAAACTAATGCTTGGTTTAAGTAGTAACATAAATTACCAGATTTAATAGTGAATCATTTTAATGGTTTATGGTGTTCTATTTAAAAATATGTTAAAATAAATTAATTTCATTATTGTATATATTAAAAATATTTTATAGTTTGTATTTTTTGCCTTACTAATAAATAATAGCATTGAAAGATTGTTAAATACATTAGATAATTGGTATTAATTATATAATGTAGTTTATAAATGATTATGGTTTGACTTGAATAAAAACAAAACATGTAATATTTGTATATATATATATATATATATATATATATATATATATATATATATATATATATATATATATATATATATATATATATATATATATATATATATATATATATATATATATATATATATATATATATGTATATATATATATATATATATATATATATATATATATATATATATATATTTTCAACGTTGATTTAACGCTGGCATGTTTGCTGGATATATATATATATATATATATATATATATATATATATATATATATATATATATATATATATATATATATATATATATATATATATATATATATATATATATATATATATATATATATATATATATATATATCCATAAAGTGTAGTCGAAAGAGCGTTTTAATGTAAAAAAAAGTCTCTTACGACTACAATTTTTATTACCTCGTCTTTTAAGCTGTATTTGATTGTCGTCGACAATATAACGACTACAATATACGTCAACGATATAACGACTGACAAATAGCCTGACTCGCAAGGGAGTGCTGCTACATCGACTGAGAGTTTGGTTTGGGCATGCAGTCTATCATTTTAAAAAAAAAAAATTTAATTTTTTCTGGTCTGGTTTATTAACGCGCTCTTCAAAACTACAGTGTATGGGGGAAACTCTTTTCAACTACCATGCAAGAGTATATATATATATATATATATATATATATATATATATATATATATATATATATATATATATATATATATATATATATATATATATATATATATATATATATATATATATATATATATATATATATAATATATATATATATATATATATATATATATATATATATATATATATATATAAATATATATATATATATATATATATATATATATATATATATATATATATATATATATATATATATTTATATATATACATTTTTTTTTTTTTTTTTAATTTAATAATAATCATACTAATTCAATAACATAAATTTTATTCACACACATAAATCCTGTAAATTTACTTACACACATAAATCTTTAAAAAGATGTTTATATTTTTATCTATAAATTGTAAATTTTATATAAATAAGTTGTATATTTTTATGTTTTTCATTGTATATTACTATTTGTATTAAAAATCGACTTTGGAAATATTGCAAGTGCAGAGTTCAAAATACAATTTTGTTTTATTTGCAAATTCAATATACATTATAACCAAGTTTAATCACGTTTAATAATATTTTGCAATATTTTCTCCAGCGCATTTGAGCGTTGATTTAACGTTATATTTCAACTTTTACTTGACGTCTTTGAGTCACGTTAAATCGACGTTTTACTACCAACGTTATAAATCCTTGCAAAATCAACTGCTTTAACAACGTTAAAGTAACGCTTTTCAAGTAACGTTTTTTCAACGTTATGTTGCGGCGCCTATGCAACGCTTTTTAAGTAACAATTTTTCAACGTTTAGTTGAGACATTTTTGTAACGTCTTTTAGTAACGTTTTTCCAACGTTACGCTACAACGTTTAATCAACGTCTCTTTAACAACGTTACATATCTTTGCAAAATCGATTACTTTGTCAACGTTTCCGCAACATCTTTTGCAACCGGTTTTCAACGTTGATTCAACGCTGACATGTTTGCTGGGTATATATATATGTATATATGTATATTTATACATGTAAATATTTTAGCATAGACGTTTTGTAAACATTTATTTTCAATCAAATTTATTTGATAAGCGTGTTTACTGTTTCATAAAAAAACATTTTGAGCATTCACTAAAATATTACTTATGTTATGCTTTCAGTTTTGAATTTATTTTTCTTTCCAAAAACCATATCAAATAAGAGAATAACTAAATTAAAACTTAACTTGTATATATATATATATATATATATATATATATATATATATATATATATATATATATATATATATATATATATATATATATATATATATATATATATATATATATATATATATATAAACTAAAACATGTTAAATAATTCATTAAAATAAAACATGTTAAATAATTGCTTGTTGATAAAAAAAATATATATAAAAAAGAATGTACTTTAAATATATACATATAATAATATGGATGAGGGATTTTTAAAAATTTAAAAGTATATAAGTATTTTTTCAGTTAAAAAAAGGAGTTTTTTAAGGATTTGTTTAAAAGAATCAAAATTACATTCTTGAGAAAAATCTTTAGAAGTATTTAGAACTATAATATTCCATAAAAGTGGTCCGCGAAATGATTTAAAAATTTTTTAAAACTAGTTTGAGAAAAAGAAAAATATATTTATTTCTATCATTTTGTAAATCTAGGTAAGATGACTATAAATTTTATTCTACAAAATTCTTTCTTAAACTTTAGAGAATACAGAAAGGAGTGAAATAGGACTATAATTACTTAAACTCCCATTGTCACCACTTTTTAATATTGGTATGACTTTTGCTAATTTTAGAGCTTGGGGAAAAATTCCCTGTTTAATTGATATTGAAAAAAATTTTAAAGAGTATGTCTTTTAAAACGAATTGAAAATAAAATGAATTTATAATAATGTTGCTATAATTGCCATCAGGGTCTACTGCTTTGTTAGATTTTAACATTTTAAAGGCATTTTCAAGTAGTTTCTCTTATTATAAACCTAGTGCGTTTAAAATTTAATTTATATATATCTAGTAAATTTAAATAATATTTTATTTTTATTTTTTTTTTGCGGCTTTCAAATAGTTTAGGTTAATTTTTATACAAATTTTATTTTCATTTGTTTTAGATTTTAAGTAATCAATTTTTAATTTTTGTTTAATTTTTGAAGACTTCCGCAAACCTTTGTAATCCAAGGCGATTTAATACTTTTAGCTTTATGATTTAAATTAACTTTAGGGAAATTAGTGTCGTAAATATCATAGAAAGTTTTAAAAAAGGAGTTATAAACTAAGTTTGTATCATCAGAGGTGTTAATAATACTCTAATCAATTAGAGATAATTGTTCCTTAAAAGATTTTTAGTTTTTATGCGTAAAACTTCGCTTTTTGAAAACTTGTTTATTGTTGCGAACTAAGTTATTATCTATATTTATAGAAAAGAAAATATGAAGATGATCAGATATGTCATTTTTAATTATGCCCTTTTTTAATGATTCGTTCAAAAACATCAGTGGTTAAAAATATTATCAATTAAAGAGACACTTGATTTAGTAATTCTTTTCGGTTTACTAATCAAAGAAATTGTACCATTTTCAAAAATGCCATTATAAAACCTTTAAATCTTACTATTGACGTGGTATTGAAAACAATCTAAATTCAGGTCACCAAATAAGTAGAATTATTTATTTTCGCGGTTATTTTTTTTTGATAACTTCATTACATAAAAACGAATTAAAATTTTTAATTTCACCTGAAGGTGGGCGACAACAATAACAACTAGTGTTGCGAAGGTAAAATTTACCGGAAAATTTTGAAAATTTACCGCCTGGTTAATTTAAAAAATTTTTTTCATTTATTTTTTTTTCTTTTTTTTTTTTTTTTTTGATTTTTTAAAGGAAAATTTACCGTTCTCTAATTAAAATATACCGGTAATTTTACCGGTAAATTTTGAATCAAATTTTACTGGAAAATTTACATCACTAATAATAACAACAACTTCGAATTTTATTTTTTATTTTATTGCTTATATAGTTAGTTTATTTTGTCGTTTTACACATTTTACAATGTTATCTTTAAATTCGAATAAATATATATGTAATTACAAGCTGACAGGGGCAAGTAGAAGACATAAAGTCTTATCATCAAGCCCTTTTGTGAAATAGAGAAATATAAAATTTCTAAAATTCCAATAATATAAAAAAGAGTTAAATTAAAAATTTTGAAAAAATAAACAAACATTCAAACAAAATTAAAATAAAAATAAAAAAATTTAAAGAGTTTGAAATAAAGTAAAAAGATTGAAAAAAATTAAAAAGTTTAAAATAAATTAAAAATTAAAAAAAGTAAAAATTAGAAAGAAAAAAAAAAAATAATAATAATAATAAAATCTCGAAATAAAAAAATAAAAATGTATACAATGCGTAAATTAAAAAGTTTGAATTTTTTTTTACAAATCAGTACATATACGTATACATATTCAATACAAAGCGAAGTATATATTCAAAAATATTTATATATTAAAAAGATTCCAAACGTTATGTAGATTTAAATTCATTTGTTAGTATTTATTAAAAAAAGTTAAAAAAAAACAGTCAAAGAGAAAATCAAACAAGAAAGATATATATGTATATATATATATAAAAAAAAAAAAAAAAAAAAAAAAAAAAAAAAAAAAAAAAAAGCTTTTTATCAAATTTATCAAAAAAATATTATTTTTAAAAAAATGAAAGAATGTATGTAATGTTTGAGTTTAGTAAGTGTTTTTTTATAGTTCTTTTGAATATATCAATAGATTTTATTTTTTTCATATTGTCGTCAAGAACTGACTTCCACAAGCGTGGCCCCCGACATGTAATTGAGAAGTCAGATTTTTTGAGTGATGTTGGTGGGATGTAGTAATTATTTATTGAGTGTCTTGTTTCATATTTATGGTTAATTAGAGAGAAACCTTTATAAAAATATTTTGGAATTAGTTCA